ATTCATGTCCTGTCAAGAGATGAAAAAACGAAATTAAATGTAAATGCCAAATAATAGATGAGAGAAGGACTCATAACAAGGCAACTGCAAGATGGGTATTTAGACATGCTTGATTAGTGGGAAAAAGAAAGAACAAAGTCAATTAGCAAAGGAATATCAGTCACTCCATTTTCTCCTAAGAACTGAAGGCTTAATGCAATTAAACCCATTTAAGATGGTGCTTTCCCAGGTATTGTTCAAACTTCATGTCCTTTGCCAGTTAGTTTCACACATATTTTTTTTACCAAGTGTATGAGAGAGGTTCAAAATTAGTATATCTCTGTTGTGTCTTTAGACATACTGTCCAAGATAGGATTACAAAAGTAATTCACACATGTATTTTATGTATTCAGTGCAATGAAGTCACGCTATGGATTCAGTTTGGCCGGGTGAAAAAAAAATCCCATATCTGCATTTGCTGTAGTATTTCATCATTCACATTGGATCTGTCTGGCATTTGAAATAAGATACAGGCATGGACAACCTGCTTCAAGCTGTCTACAATGTCTACAGAAGAAAGATCATCCAGGATACTAAATGACCCGTAATTATTTCTCCAAGAGTTGCATTTGTGCTTCAGAATGCAAGAAAGGCTTACAAGTTGAAAGTTTTAGTTCAAATTTTTAAGATGAAACCCTCTGCTTTGTATGGTTAGCATCGTAGACCAAAGCATCAAATACATTGCCTTTAGTTATTCTACTTCTTACAAATCCTTTCTCCCTGTGAACTACCTACATTCACAGTATGTTCAATAACAGCTGTTTTCATTTTGTATTAAGCTTATGTTACAACCCGCCCCTGAAGGCAGAGTAGCTGAGGTTCCTGTTAATAATAGATCCCTTGGGGTGGGTTAGAGCAAAACGACTGGTGTTTATAAATATATATATATATATATATGGCAGGTTTATTTCAGGACATTTTGGTTGCAATGGAAAGGAAGTATGTAACTGTTTTTGTTATTATCTGTAGAAATATAGCAATATAGAAGTGTAAAAATAACACTTAAATTGTATAAGGAAAAGAAAGGATAGGTGGAAGGCCTCAGAAATGAGTCTGGGGGTGCTTCAGGGGTCTTTGATGGTTTATGACACCTTCTAAGACATGACAGCTGCCTCTCACGTCAGCTAGTTATGGCTCATGGGAGGAGGGATGAATACCTTCAAGCCTACATGTGAATGTAAATGTCCTGATACCTCCCCATCTATCCCACCTCCACAGGGTCTGCTTCTCATCAGCCTTCTCCCTTATCTGGCTTGTAGCCTCTGATTGTGGGTGTGCACCCCCTCTGCACCTGGGCTGTTACCTTGCAGAGAGCCAGCAAAGCAGCTGCTTTTGCAAATGGCCATTAACATTTTGGTCTCTTACAGCTTGCCAAATTTCTTCCAGAAAGCTTTTGATGCAGAGGGGAGGGAAGTAATTAAAAGATTAAAAGGGCCTCAGATTTGGGAATGTAACAGTTGAACCTGACAAATGCTCAGCAAACTGAATTTTAGGATGAACATAGAGTTTGCTGTAAAAAGCCCATTGTCTTTGCTGGCTTTTGATTACTTTCCACAGGAACTAAGAAAATGTTATCTGAAATTGCTGGACTTCAGTAAACCTGTTCTGAGAAGGTGAGTGCAGATTTGCATGACTGGAATGGTATCTTCTCCCCTTTGGTATGAGGGCACATTCTTTTCATTATTATTAATGTGATTAATCAGTGAGGCTTTTTCTATATTCTTACTGGTTAAACCTGCTGTTCACGGGTATGTCTGTAATTTAAGCTTTTTTGCCAGCATCCAAGAAGACTCTGTATGTGTGGACTCCTTTATCTTGATTAAACAGTGTTATTTTAAAAACAAACATTAAACTTTTATGAAATAACACTGATTCCTGAGTGCTGTTTGTTTAAAAATTATTTTCTAAAGAGAATTAAAAAAGGACAGGCTACTTTGAGGTATTAATAGTGGCAAGAGAGGGCGCTGGATTCTGAGTTCTTGATTCCTTTGGCTTTTATGGCCCTGCAGTAATGTAGTTTCTTTATCACTTGGAAGAGCTGCTTAAAGTAGGGAAAAGGGCTTTTTAAAGCTCCTGTCTCTATACTTAATTTGGAATCTTCTAGCTATTTTTAAACTCAGCTACCGTGTTAAATTATTCATGCAAACTTTTTTGTTATGTGTTCACAGAAATGTCTTGTTGTTTCTTTCTGCAAGTATTTCACTTGAAGGGAGACGGTGCTGTGTTTCACTAACAAAAAATGTCCTGACAGCAGCTGCCAAACACGTAAAAGAATAAAGACAAACAACAGACAGCCTGCTTTTTTGTGCAGAGATTTATCATAGCTGTTTATTATTCTAGAAAATAATGTGTGAGGGATTGCTTTACAGTATGGGTCATCCTGCTTTATACATGATGAAAAAACACAAACTAGTTTGTTGCTGCTGCTGAGGGACTAACACTTTAGAAATACTTATTTTCTCCACACAATGCTAACATGTTTCCTAGCAGTGCTGCCTGGTAAGTCGTACCCATCAGGATAATCTTAAGTATTGAATTGTCAGCTCTGAGCGTGTTGTTGTGTTGTAGATCATCTCCCTTTCTCCTTATTTAATTTGCTCCTGCAGAGGCTGACTAGTAAACTAATTACCATAGCACTGACATCCTTTGGCTGATAGAGGTGTAATCCAGGGATGGATTCAAACATTGTGTCTAGAAGGGACAACCTGTACTTTAATTGTATTCGAAACATCAGAGTAGCAGATATCCAGCTACTTTAGAAAATACAGTAAGCATGCATTTCTGCTGATAAGTCATTCAGGAACTTGGGACAGTATAGCTGATGAAATAATTAACTGCCACACAAAGGCTGCATTTTAACCATGTTCCTTAGCAAAAATTACCTCCTGCCTGCAGGAGATGCTAAACCTGGTAGCCTGACAGCTATGAAGCTGCCTGCATCTCCATCTCCCCGGGTCCAGCCAGTGTCAAGGCTGAGTGTTTACTCCCAGTAGGCACACACACAAACATGTCTGGGTGTATGCACATGGCCAGCCACACAGATGAACACACATAAAACCAGAAAACAGCATTTCTAAAAACGGAAAGAGGATCAATGCCATAATCATGTTCCCCTCTCTGGAATGAAAGTCTGTTGTGGAACATACATCACGACAAACAACAGAGGTCCCCTCAGTAACGGGATGCTCATTTATCCTATAGCCGTTCCCAGATCCTTGTTCTCTCCAGCTGCAGACACCTGGTCATGCAAGACCTTAAGGCCCACGACCAGGTCAGGCTGCTGGCACTCAGACCTGCTTGCACCCACAGACACAGGCACACACAGACTATGGATTTCTTCAACAACTGGCCTTAGACAGTCCACCCTTTAAACTGGTCCTGGTGCCCTCTCATCTCTACTGGGGCAGAACCTTACAGCACAGCAGTAAGGACTTAGGAGTCTGGGAGCTGAAAGTAGTCAGAAGCTGGAAGAGTATTAAGGGAAGTGTCCTATGCCACTGTCCTGCTCCTGATCTTCCTGTGGTACCTGCTTTTAGTTATACTACCAACAGGCTACTCAGAGCATGGTCTGACCCAGAACTGACGTTCCTACACACCTGGCAAATACAGCTGTATGTCTGGCAGCCAGTGGTCTTTTAGCTGCAACACAGTGACTGGATTCTGCTGCATCCAAGCACTCTGAAAAAGCTACAGCATCCTCAGAGAAATCAATAAAAAATTTGATTTTGGTGATTATCACCACTTTAACATGCACACTCTGCACCTTGTAACACTCCAGTGTGTTTCATGCTTTTCCACAAGTGCAAATTTCAAGATGCCTCTGTCATGGGGATTTTTGACAACCACAGAGCAAAGAGGCAAGACCTGAGGTGGGGTGGTGTAAACACTGAAAATAATTTGGCTGTAATGAAATAAAGCCTGCCTTAAGGTTGTTGTCTCTGGCCAAGTTTCCTATGGAAGTGAGGTTTAAACCATCAGGGGGTGTATGTCTTCAAACTCAGTGACCTGGGCAAGTTCAACAAGCTTCCTCCACACTGGCAGTAGGTTCTTCTGGTGCAGAGGGGCTGCAGCCTTATGTGTTATTAGATGTGAGAGAATCTGCTCAGGAGGAAGTCTCCTTTATCTTCAGTCAGAGCTCACATCATCCCACACACCAAAACCAGTCAATCACAAAAGGCAAATACACAGGAAACCAATTGTCTTTGTTAAATGACAGCTGGCATCCAAGCAAGTAGAAAACCTCACACCTCTCAGAATAAATACTTCTGGGCTGTGGAGCCCCAGGCCACACAGGCTGCCAACTTCCTTAACCTGTGTCTCACAGCATGAGAGCACCTGACCAATATCCACCACACACATCCACATCCCTCCAGGGCTAAGGGGGCCAGAAGGGGTTTACAGTGGTCCACTCCTGAATGGAGAGGATAGCAGCAGCCTGGGCTGGTTTGCTTCTTCCCATAGGGGAAATTAGTGTTACATGGCTTTCTCAGTGCTGGTACAGTGTAGGCAGTCATGTATGGCTCCAGCCAGGACACTGCTGTGAAGCTGCCTGAGAAACACATCAACTCCCAGACCTACAGCTCCCTTTGAGTGAGGAGGGAAGTAGCTGTAGCAAACTCAGACGAGGGAGAGAACAAATATGAGGAGAGCTGAGCTCAGTTCTGCAGGTTGACAAGTCTGCAGAGCTTTGTGTAGCACATGGAAATCTACCCCAGTTACAGCTCTGGTGTGAGCCAACAGCCTGAGCGGCTGCTGCTCCCAGAAGTAACCATTCTAGAGAGTTCTGTGATGTCATTGCACAATAGCAAACTGCTTAGGACATTATTAGTTTGTTCAAGTAGCACTTGTATGCCAAACAAAAAAGTAACTGTCCAATGTTGAAATGGATTTCCTCTGGAAGGGCCAGGATGCTGTACAGTTGCCATTCACACCTCTCATGCCTCCAAAATCTGGGTGATGAAAAACCCTACATAGATAGGAAAAGAAAAAATCACAACTGACGAGACACAGAATGACAAAACAAAGCTCTCTTCCCTGTCCTTAGGAGAAAATTGTAGCTGCCTGCTCCAGGTTAGCATCACACCTCCAATTGTTCTCCCCAGCCACAAGATCCATATGGTTTTCAAGAGACTGCTGGTTCCCGCAGCACAGAAAGGACAGTGATGCAGTTGCAGAACTAAGTGATGCAAATGGGAGAAGATGCCTTCCAAATTGTCCCTACCATGCAGTGTTGGCACAACTGAATGAAAGAGAAATCTATTTATTTCTTTCAGAAGGCAGATGTCATCAGCTGAGTGCCAAGATGAATACAACCCTTATCCCTTGCCTATGCTTATCTGAATCATCATGTCAATATGGCATTTACCTGCAGTAAATGTAGATGACAGCAAATGTTCCTTTGAAATTAGCACAAAATCCTCGCTTCTCAACATGTGCAGATTCAGGAGTGGACACAGAAACAATGTCCATATAAGAAAATGAATTTTTTCATGTACTGCTTGCTCCTAGTCCTTGCCTGTGGGAAGAAAAAAAGAAGGTTCAGAAGTAAGGGCTAAATGTTATGAAGACCAGAAGCAGCAGCAACTGAGGAGCAGGGCCAGACTGGACATACGGCGCTGCTTTGTACACTTACAGCTGTGCAAGCAAGGTGAACTCAACCATTATATTAAAAAACCAAACAAATAATCAAAATCACCACCACCAACAAAGTCACAAACTTTCAGCAGCAGTGTTGAATTTGTGAGGAAACAATCTAATCCTCCAAACCCCCAACTTAGATTACCCACGAGGCAAGGCTCCCAGGCAAAAACCTGGTAATGCTTTGAATAAATTCCAAATGAATGGACTAGAGGAAAAGCAGCTAATTCTTAACAGCAGTGATAAGACAGCTTGTCAGAAGCCTTAATTTCTTTTTGTTTTTAAAAAAATTGAAGTAGCCTAAGGCTACCCTTTACCAGCCACTATACAACTAGAAGCAAATACACAGAGGAAAGCCATATTATTTCTTTCACATTAAGATTTTAGTCTTAGGGAGGTAGTTTTCCCATAAATGTATAGATTGACCAGTCTTTAGTAGCAGAACTGGTGACTGAGCTGTCTGTTAGTGAAGAATTTCTACTCCTTCGAGGTACTGTTTCTTTATCCTCCGACGTATCTTGAGGCTACAAGAGGCTTCGTACTTTGACCGCAGCTTTTCCTCTTTATGCCTGCCGAGGGCAATTTCATGAAGTACAGGACTCCTCTCCTGCAGTATCCGCTCACTGCCGGTGAGGGACTGGGATTGCTTTTGGCTTTTCCTGGCACGGCCCAGCCATCCGAACAAACCCCTGCTTTCTTATCCATGCCTCCTTTCCAGTACTGATGTGCTTTCTGCGGGACTGCTGCATCTCAGGCAGGGGGGCAGGGCTGCCTGACAGAGCTGGGCAGAGCAGGCAGAATTGTCCCCTGTAACCCTGTAACTTAAGTTTTCTGTCAGTAATGATGGATCTGTATCCACGTGCACGGCCTTCCCGCTGAAGATGCTGGCAGCTGAGCGACTGGAAGAAGTGAACGCTGTTACACCCCTCCTCTGCCCCAGAATTTAAAATAATTTTTAAAAAACCGCTGGCAGCGCGTTGCCTCGATGGGCTTCACTGCCAGCACGGAGCCCTCGGCATCCCCGAACACCACGTCCCCACCGGGACAGCGGGGCACCACTGCAGACTGCGCCGCCGGGGCGCGGGGTACAGGCGCCGCCCAAGGAGAAACGAGTCCCGCGGATCCAAATTATTAGTTGAACTGAAACGATTTCGGTTTATCAATGTCATTCTCCCAGGGGCACCCCCCGCGACAAGCCTCGCCACACGCGAGGCATGCCGGGATTTGTGGTCCCGGCGGGACCCCGCGGGGACGCGCTCTCGCTGCGTGGCGCGGTTTGACCCTTCCGCCGCCCCGTCCTCCCGCCCGTTGCGCGACGCCGTTCGCCGCAGCACATTCCAGCGTGGGCCCCGCGGTGGGGAGAGGCGTGTTCTCCTTCCGGGTCTGCCCGCGGTACTGCCTGAACAGAGAAGTGCGGTCCTTGGCTCGTGCCGCGCTCCTGTCCCACACAGACACCCCGGTGTTCGCCCTTGCGCCCCCCGTCTCAGCTTCACAACACTGCGCGGCTTGGCCGGATAGGCGGAGCCTGGCGCGCAAGCAGGCGGCGGCGGTCAGGCACGGAGGCGGCGGCCCGAGGGAAGCCGGCTGAAGCGCGAGGCGGGGGCCTGCCCGGCTCGGTCCCGCCCTGACATGCCAACCCGGCAGCCGCGGGCGCAGCAGCTGCGAGCGCCGTGCGTGGGGAGGGAGCGGGGCGGGGGCGGCAGCGGGGCGGTGGAGCGGGGGAGCAGGAGCAGCAAGAGAAAGAGAAGAGGGGTTGGGGCACTGGGGGCTCCCCCACTGCAAGGCGGGGTGTGAGGGTTGAGCTCCCCCCCGCGGGGCCGGGACGGGATGGCGGGGGGGATGGCGGGCGGCGGGAGGTCGGGTGCGGGTGGCGCTGAGTGCCACTGTCGCGCAGGTCCGCCCGCCGTGCCCCGCCGCAGGATGGAGGTCGAGCTATTGGAGAACGACGTGCTGGAGTCGCTGGAGGACCTGGGGTAGGTGTGCCGGGCTCCCGGTGCGGACTGAGGGCGGGAGGGCGGCCCCGGCGTGGGACACGGCGCCACTGCCCGCCCCGCAGGGCCGCGGCGCAGGGCAGCGCCTGGAATGACCCCTTTCCGTCAGAGCTGTCCCCGAACCGGGCCGGTGATGGTGCCCCAAAGGCCAAACGGGCCGGTTTTCAGCTCTGCGGCCTTGGCGGACGTTTCACGGCTCCCTGTGTGGGGGTTTCCTTGATCCATGCGGTGCCGTCTCGTTGGTAACCCCTCTGTTGGACAGAGCGGCCCTAGCTGAGGGTGGGAAGGGATAAAGAGGCCCTTTAAGATGTCAGACAAGAAGAAAGCTTTAAGCGTTTATATTGGGGGAAAAAAAAGGAAAAGAATTGCAAGTGACAGAGGATCTGTCCCCTTTACATTTTTTTTTTTAGTATAATACAGCACAGGAAATTTCTGCTGTTTAAACCTGTTACTTTGTCACAGTCAGTAAAAGTTATATAAATATGAAAGGGAGAGCTCGGAGAACATGCCCTGCTGTGAGCTCCCATGTCTGTAAGCTGTTGAGAGTTCAAAAGGCAGCTACAATTACACTGCTGCTGGTTCTGTGCAAACAGCTGTATTTACTCATATTGGCCACGTTCCCATAAATCACTTTGTGGCTAGAGTCATTATGCTCCAACAAAGATTATATTTCCAGGCTAAGCTGGTGATGCTAGTTCCAAAGCTTGACAAATAGGCTTCTGTTTTGGCAGGTATTTCTGTGCCTGAAGTGTGAAAAGGTCTCTGTGACATGATGAACGCACTGTGATTGGCTCCTGTTTTGTTTTGTGTGTTAAGAAGGATATCAGTGGCTTGAAGGACTTGTGATTTGTGCTCCCCTTCTTTGCAATTATAGACAGAAAATGCTGTCAATTTTCAGCATAAACAAATAAAGTGAACAGTGAAAGCAGGCGAACAGATAAGTCAGATCAACCAAGATTGGCAGCAAAGATTGAAAAGAAAATTGGAGGACAAAAGACATGAAACTTCAACAGTAATGGTAACAACTGGGAAAACAGCTGCATCTATCTGAAGGGCTTCTGTTTCCTGGTGTCTGGAAAGACCTCTGTTTGAGGTTTTATGCTTTGGCAGTACCTCCACAATTCTTCATGGTTCGGTTTATTTTTTCTAATCAGATCCTGAAGACATTTCTAATATATTACTGGATTATTTTTTTTTTAATAGCTCTTCATGTCAAAGAGCTGTTTCTTTTTGTAATTGCGCTCAAGGTGTTCAGGTAGTGGCCTCTTGCCTTGTAAATCAGTTTGTTGAACTGTTAGAAAAGCAAACAGACCAGATAGCACAATGTTACCAAAAGAGGAATGTAGCTCCAGAACATGTGCAATTGGCGAGAAAGGAAGGAAAAAGCTGCTTGCAGTCAGGAATCTGCAAGTTGGATTATTGGCCAGATAGATGTGTAGATGGAGTCATAATTATCAGAGATAACACAGTCAAGATGTCTTATCTGTCAAAGAGAAACTGTAGAAAAGGAACCTCTGACATGACCAGTGACTTAAATCCTGATCCTGCCAAAGCAAAAGGGTTGTCATCACTTCCCTTCTACTTTGATCTATAACTGGATGCTTCTGTTTTGAGCCCCAGATGTTCCTGTACATGTGTAGGTCTGAAACGTCTGTGGGATGGGTCTTAAACTTGCTCTAATCAGCTTCTTGGGAGTGTCCAGCCTACTGTGGTCATGGAGTAGGGTTGTAATACATCAGATTACAGTTTTCCACCAGCTGCTAGTAGGTTAACTCTCAAGTCAAGCTGCTCTGTGAGGTAAAAGTTATTTTTGAGTGTGGCTGCATCATTTGAGTTGGATGAAGTAACAGACCATTACAGGGAAGGCCACATCCTTTGTATGTGACATTAAGGACGAGAGCAGAGTGAGAAGAATAACATTTCAGTTTGCACTCTCAGAGATTTTTGTTTTACTCCTGAGTTTGCTAAGGGTCACCTGGACTCACTGGACTGTTTTGATGTAGTGGAGTGACTTTACCCAGGAGTTTCAAAGAGGGATTTTGGTTGGTTATGTGCACTCTTGGATGTCTTTCTGATTTGGGTGCAGTATATCAGAATAATATTGTGCATTTTTTAAAAAAATACTCTGGTAAATTCTGACTTTGTACTTCCACCTGGTTAATAAGGCAGTCTTCTTCCTACTCTTCCTCCTTCCCCTGAGAGATTATCGACAAACAGATGTCCTGAAAGCTATGTCTTCTAAGATATGATCTGTAAACATTCTTACATTAGGTCTGATTTTTGGCTTACTTTGTTTATGCAAAGAACTAATTCTGTTTATTTTTCTTGTACCCCTTCAGGGAGGTGATTTTTCAAAGGAGGATATTGTTATAGAGATCACTTTTGTAACATTTGTATCAAAGGCTTTGTTTTGCATGGCAACCCTTTAGTACATGATAGGAAATGACAGAGAGGATGGACTTGTTCAGCAGTAATTATTCTGCATACTGTAAAGCAGTATGTAGAGTTCGAGAATGATTCTATGAAACTGCTTTTGCCTTGGATAGCTGTATTGTAAGTAACATCTTTCTAAAGAGATGGAGGCAGAGAAGTATAACATTCTCGAGGATGAAACCTTTGATGATGACTTTTGTGACACAATCTTTTTGGCAGTAGGCCGATGCACACGGAAATACTGAAGTTTACTCAGGTGTTTTCAGTGTGCTTTTTGTTGCAGTTCAGTGCAGGAACACCGCCCCTTCAGGTGTTCAGCACTGCAGACGTGTTGAGGGTGTAACTCTCAGTATGTGTGCAGCGTGAAATAAATCTATCAAAGGACATTAGTCACAGCAAACATTAATAAGCATTGCTTTTGTTTTACTTTTCAGTTACAAAGGTCCACTGTTAGACGACGGAGCGCTGGCTCAGGCAGTCTCTCATGGAGCCAGTTCCCCCGAGTTCACCAAACTCTGTGCTTGGTTGGTATCTGAGTTACGGCTCTTCTGCAAACTAGAGGAAAATGTGCAGGCAACAAACAGTAAGTAGCACAAACATGCACTGAATGTGTGTTCTTGTGTGCTGTAAAGATTTGGGCTCACAGTATCTGTTGTACCAA